CCTAAAGTGTCCAAGATGGCTTTGATTTTGTTCTTGAACATCTAATATCGATTTGCCATGTTTCTGTTAATATTCATCATTTTGGCTTTGAATTTGAATCAATGTTATATTTTGTTTAAGGGCCTCTTTTTGTGTAGTCCCAAGTCTGAACGTGTTCTACGATGTTCCGCTTACATCGAAAGAATTTATGTGGATACAAATCCAAAGAAGACATGAAGAAAAAGAAGATGGTGAAGGGGTTGATCAGGACTTCTGTCATAGACTTCTAAATATGGGGTCAGACTTACAAGCAAAATTTTATTTCAGAATTCACTGAGTTGAAAAGATAGCATTAGTGCAAGGAATTGGCTGAAAAAGATTTTTAGGACATTAATGATATAAGTTAAGATATATTTGTCTCGCAAGGTTATTCAAATGGTTAGTTTTATCCTCGAAGTATATTGTGAAAACTCCACTTGTCTATCAAATGAGTATTTTTAATGGATAAAACTTTTATTTTGAATTTCCGTTTTGTTTATTAATGTGATTGAATTTAGTGTCTACTTTTGAACTTTTATTAATGTGATTGAATTTTAAACTTCTATTTTAAAATTTATGTATTAAATAAAGATATAAGCTGCCAATCAAATAACCACCTACATCTTATATTATAAATCTAAAACACTCATGAAAGTAGATAGAACATAATACTCATAAAATACTCATCAATCCAATTAAAACTTTGTGGACACAAGATGATATGCAAATGTGGTGTCAAATATTTTAGTGTCTATTTTTCTTTTCATCAATTAAAAAGAAAGTACATAAAGATAATGAATTAAAAGTGAATGAATGATACTGGTTCAAAAGTACATGAAACAAACAAAAAAAATGGTCCAGTTTAAATATACGTATCATTTAGATTGTATTTAGATTAAATTTTTCTTTTCATCAATTAAAAAGAAAGTACATAAAGATAATGAATTAAAAGTGAATGAATGATACTGGTTCAAAAGTACATGAAACGAACAAAAAAAATGGTCCAGTTTAAATATACGTATCATTTAGATTGTATTTAGATTAACAATATACCTAAAAAGACGTCAATTAATCATTATTTTTTTCATACAGGTGTGCAATCATAAATATAGAGCTATTTTGTTATATATACAAAAAAATTCAAGTACCGATAATACCCTTATATAAAATTTTAAGACACACTGCAAATCCAAAGAAGACATGAAGAAAAAGAAGATGGTGAAAGGGTTGATCCAAAGAAGATATGAAGACATGAAGAAAAAGAAGATGGTGAAATGGTTGATCAGGACTTCTGTCATAGACTTCTAAATATGGGGTCAGACTTACAAGCAAAATTTTATTTCAGAATTCACTGAGTTGAAAAAATAGCATTAGTGCAAGGAATTGGCTGAAAAAGATTTTTAGGACATTAATGATATAAGTTAAGATATATTTGTCTCGCAAGGTTATTCAAATGGTTAGTTTTATCCTCGAAGTATATTGTGAAAACTCCACTTGTCTATAAAATGAGTATTTTTAATGGATAAAACTGTTGGCACCTCATTCAACTTTTAATTCTCAATCTTAGACTATCTAATTTCTTTAAATCTTTACACATATTGGTGATTCTAATTTCCATTCTCTGACCTATTGCAGACGTAAAAATCATGGGTACTCCAATAATTTTTTTGTACGGGTTATATCTAGAAAAAAAAAATTATGCAGTCCTGGAAAGCTCTATTTCAATGTCACAGAAAAGGAGACTTTTTTTTTATTTGAAAACTTTTATTTGAACCATAAAAAAAGGGAGAAAATACGATAAAGGAAATTAATTATAATAAATGTGTTAAAATTTTATGTAAGGGTGTTATAGGTAGTTGAAAAGATTTTGCTCTTTGTATGATAAAATAACTCTGTATTTATCAATTTCCTAAAAAATATTATAAACTTATAATTAATAGCGGCCTAGGATTGCATATAGGTGTACAATCATAGAAAATACTACCAGGGTAATAGTCTATATGTTTCAAAATAATTATTCAATTCAGATTTTTACTTTTATTACTAATAATTATTCAGTGTAACTCAAATTTAACTTCAAAAAAAAAAAATCAATTTGGATGGAAACTCATAGTATTTTGGGATTCTATGCCGCTACTATAGTTTAGGGTGCACTTTTAAGTATCTATCTCAACGAATGGAAAGAAAAAAAAAACCCCCTATCTTACTGAATCAGAAATTAACTATATTCACGTGTTCGTAAATTTCGAACATATTCTTCATATTCTAATTTTTTTGCAATTGGATAATAAAAATTAAATACAAAAAAAATAATATTTGAGTTATTGAATATGTCAAATGTCGTAAAATCATTATTATAAATGTCATCGGTCGAACACAAAAAAAAAAAAGAAGAAAAAGTTATGGGGTGCCTGTGATTACACGGGTTATATCTAGTACTAGATTAAAAAAGAAAAATCCTCTATGCTGCCATGGCTACTGTTGTTTATCATGTTTGGGAGCAACGGAACAATAGAATCTTTGGGACTAAACAAAGAACTATAGAGATGCTAGTGAAAATGATTGATTAGGAGGTGCAATGAAGATCAGAGCAGTGCCTAAGTTCTAAACAGTCTATAGGTGAGAAGAAAATTTTGGGTAGCTTATTTCATGTATAGAAGTTGTTAGAGGAATAGTGAACTAGTAATAGTGCTACTTTGTTTTCAAATTATTAGTTATCAATATATTTAAGTTTGTCGAAGTCATAGGCTTATGACCTTATGAACTTTCTAAACAATGATTACTTCAAATAATGCTATAATTACTCCTTATTGTTGACATAAATATCTAATAATACAACTTTAAAACTCAACGTAGACACTATATTTTTTTTGACATTGAGGAAATAATATATAGTCAATTCTTTTCAAGAAAATATTTGATCGAGAACATATCAACGAAATTACTTAGCTTCCAAACAATGGTTAACATAACAAAATACGGATAAGCGAATCAAGTTGGGCTTTCCATCACTCTCCGTTGAAGTCAGCAAAGCGCATTTTAAGTATGAGCGACATAGTTACATTCATGTTAAACTTATAACAGTCATACATTTGTATAAACACAAAAAGCAAAATGCGACCCTAACTAGCCTGAAATTAAATTCATGCAAAACTCTTACTCCATTTCATCAATACTTAGGTTTTTACAAGTGAATATACACCAAAAGAACTTTGCGAAGAAGATAAATGCTTGTGATTTAGACTAACCATTGCAATTTGCAGATCATGAATAACGCCAGCTTTAATTAGTTTCTCATACCATATTATATGCATGAATATCATTCATTCTGGGGAGGGGGGAAAAAAATTCCCCCAAGAAGGGAGGTGGGAACATGATCGTACCAAATCCAGAACATGCAAAAAGAACAATTGGATCAAAACTTCAAGAAACCCTTTCAAAGAAGAATATATATATCAATGGAGTAGTTTTTATATTATTCACCGGCATGTATATGTAGTAGTAACACACCTATCTTTTTAAAATTTTAAATTAAACCTCATATGAATCGGCTTTTTTTTCTTTTTTTTTTTTGGTTTGAATTGTTACAGAAAGTTCAAACATTCACACCCAAACTCTATCTATATTCAGATCTGCTTTGTCTATGGAATTTTTGACTTTAAGGTTATCATTACTACTCCTATTAATTTTCTTTTATTTTTCTGATCGATTGTTCTGTAATTCCTTCTGAACTACTGCATGGGAGGGAAGCGGAAATGTCGCCTTTGTCTTTGGCTTTGCCATCCAAAAAAAAAAAAAAAAATACCACACGTTCTAAAGCTTCTGGACCACATAGCCATTTCTCGTTGACTCATTTCCGATTTATTTAATCAAATTTCTCGTTTTCAAATTCTAATTGTCTGAAATTCGCAAGAAAATGTGAATAAGAAGTAGTTGAGCTTGTTCTTGAGCGTGATCTGCAGATTCAATGAAATGAAGTACTATAACCTCTCTCACATCACTCATTCTCATTATTTTCTTTTGTCCCTTAGTTTCAAGAAAGTAATGCTTTTTTTTTTTTTTAATCTCAAGAGTCGTTTATCTCGTATTAAAATAATTTAATTAACATACACAAAACCTTAATTTTAGGACAGAATAGCATCATAAATATGCAATTGTTTTAACTGTAAACCGGTTATACATATCATACCACCTATGTAACATGACTTGTATGGTGAATCGTGCCCATAGGAAAAATGTTTGATTATAATGTAGTACTACTACTATATATATGGTGACAAGCAGAGATCAAAATTAAAACAGTCAATGCATATATGTAAACCGTCGTATGAATCTCTCTAATTAGAATTAAGACACGAAGGGCGTAAAACTTTTGTCGAAACACAAAAGTCATTAAGAAAAAAAAAAAAGAGAGAAAATTAAGAGGAGGTAACTCATGACTGCATGCCTCAATAAAAGTTGCAATAATCACCTTAAGAAGAAAATGACATTAATTATATTGTTTCTTTCATTTCATTGAACTTCCAACCAACAGATCGTCAATCTTAGAAATAAATCGGGAAGTTCATGAAAGATGTGAATCGTGATGGATGATTTCGAATATCAGCATCTTTATATCTGGCCTCCAGCTCCAGCACCCTATTGATTGTTCCTCCTGCTTTCTGCGTAATTCATGGATCTTATAACATAATTTTCTTAAATTAACAAATTAAAGTGCGTCATTCCACCAATATTCTCTAACCTCAACCAATCCATTGTACGATCTCTGAGAACATGATGTGGGATTGATCGATTAAACAACAATGAAATTCACTAAAGTCAAAATCCATGCACATTATCCTTGATTTCAAATAATGTTTCTCAATCGATCAGATCAGATCTGTACTAATGTACGTATCAAATTATGTTCATTTATCACTATGCTATTACTATATAAGTAAACCTATAGTTTTTTTTTAATTTTCACTCTTAACCTCCCTTTTCTCCAGTCTTTCTTCTGATCATCATCATTCTCGATAGAATAACTAACCAACTACAGAAATGGGTACAAAACTCGTGTCAATTTCGCTAATAATTTTTATCACAACATTAGTCCATTTTTCTTGGATTGCTTCGGCATATAATGTTCTTAACTTTGGAGCAAGGGGAGACGGGAGGACGGATTCGACAATGGCGTTTGTACGGGCATGGCAGGCGGCGTGCAACTCGGCTAGGCCGGAAATGGTGTACGTGCCACGGGGCACGTTCATGATCAAACCGGTGATGTTCACGGGGCCATGCCGGAACAGGATCGAGTTCCGAAACAATGGCAAAATCGTTGCTCCCGATAATTTTTACGCCATTGCGAATTCTGGATCTTGGATTATGTTTTATAAGGTCAATAGGCTTTCGATCAATGGCGGAACTCTTGATGCTAAGGGTTCTGGATTTTGGTCTTGTAGGAAAAGTGGCCGTAATTGCCCGCCTGGAGCAAGGGTACGTAAATATTTTCTAACTACTCTCTCTTTCCCAAAATTATTGTCCAAGATTTCACTTTTAGTACAAATTGAACTGAAAATGAAAATCCAAACTGGACAATAATTATGAGACGGAGGGAGTATTTTGATAGTTCTGGAATTTTTTAATTTTTCTTTCTTGTTTTGACTGCTTGGTCATGAATGTACGTAGTTACCGTTAATTAGTTAGTGAGAGTCAAAAAGAGATAATATTCCGCTACATATTTATTTTTTGGTCCTTCACTACCAAGTTTCCTCTATGTTTTACTTGGTGTAAGAAGTTAATTGCGAATTTGCGATACATGTTTTCTCATTTTGCAAAATACACCACAAAAGTTTTCCCCCTTTATCAACAAAAAAAAAAAAAAAAAACCAAAAAACAAAAGTTTTCCCTCGTTGACAATTTTTAACGAATCACAAGAAGCTAAAACGATAACTAAAGTACCTTCAATAACCAATTGTCCGAATAAAACTTTAACAAACCAACGTCTATTCTTCCCTATATACCTTCAATTTGGCGCCAATGTGTAAAAAATGTCATGATACTTTTTAGCATAACTGAAGTGTAGGGTTAGAATTCGCATAAAAAAACATTGCAAGAAATAAAATGTCGTTAAAATGGCATTTTCGGTGATGGCTTGGTTTGTCCTCTCATGATAGTTAAGCATTCCTAAAATTGATATAGTAAAGTGCATTTTTAATTTTATATGTGCAACATACTTCTCTTAGGCAAATGAAGCAAAAAGTACAACACTAATTAATCGACTAGTTCAGTTTACTAGGTTGACTAATTTATTTATGGTAATTTTTTTCTTTTCTGGAGTACAGACATCACTATCTATAATGTGGTGCAATGATGTGCTGGTGAGAGGATTGAGTTCATACAATAGTCAACTAGTGCATATTGGGATTGACCACAGCAACAATGTTAGGGTAGTAGACGTCAACATTAGAGCCCCAAGTTCAAGCCCTAATACAGATGGGATTCATTTGCAATCATCCATGTGGGTAACCATTCTCAACAGTGTCATCCAGACTGGTGATGATTGTGTGTCAATTGGCCCTGGTGCTGCAAATATTTACATTGAAAAAATTGGTTGTGGACCTGGACACGGAGTCAGGTAATAAGAATCAATCATTCTTGCTCGTTTCGTCTCAAAATAAGAATTTTGTATGTTGAACGATTTTTCGTGCAGCATTGGTAGTCTTGGGAATGGTTACAATGAAGCTGGAGTCCAGAATGTGACAGTGACTTCATCAGTTTTCACAAAGACTGAGAATGGAGTAAGGGTCAAATCATGGGCTAGGCCAAGTGGTGGATTTGCAACAAAGCTGCTCTTCAAAGATTTGATTATGAGACAAGTTAATTATCCCATCATTATAGATCAACGATATTGCCCATGGTCCAGCTGCCCTCATCAGGTAAATTTAACTCTGACTTTTTTACAAATTACGTTGTCGTACTTTCTGGGAACATTTTGGAATGATATATTTTTTTTAAAAAAATAATTTATGTGCTTTACCATATTAGTATCATTTAGTATTTTTTTTTTATTTGTACATTGCTTAATCGTTGTCTGAAATTACTGTCCCGATTAATAATCGTGTTTTTCCTTTTTCTAAATAGGCCTCTGGAGTGAAGGTTAGTCAAGTAACCTACAGAAACATAAAGGGAACTTCAGCAACACAACAAGCAGTAAAGTTCGACTGTAGCCCAAGTAATCCATGTAGAGGAATCACTATGCAAGACATACATTTGACCTATGTGGATCGTTTGTTTAGGCCTACTTTGACTTATTGCAGCCATGCCCAAGGCACTCATAGAGGCATTGTCTTCCCCAAGAGTTGCTTTTGACCTGGGTGGGAGAGGTAGTGTTTTGGGTTAGTATTTTCACTATTAAATGTAAGAAAGAAAGTAGGCCAACATAAAAAATGTAAAAAAAGTTATATTGAAAATCGTATTTAAGATGTTACAACTAAAGAAAAGCAAATGTTTAGACATTTATTTTTTAAGGTTTATAACAAGTAGTAAGGGTGTATCATGTAGAATGTAAAGTGTTATGCTTTCCTTTTACATACATGTTACGAACGATAAGATTAATTTCTAGCGATGGATACAATATTGTAAACACTTTTTTTATATAAACTTGTTATTTTTTAATTATTATTATAAGAGGTTATGATCAAAGAGATTTATTTTATTTCGTATGAGAATTTAATCGATCCAATTAAGAAGAAACGTATATTTTATAACAATGTGTCTCTATCGAAGGTTTTAGCCCTCTTATTGAAATTTTATTTTGTGAGAAATTCAGGCTTCTACATGCCCAGAAGCCCAGAAGTCTTGTCTTAACTCCGAGGAAGAAATTCGGCCCAGCTATGGGCTGAAATGAGGTGGGTTCCAAAACTGATCATCTGGAAATGCATTGTTTGGAAGTGCTAAATTTGATAAAAAGCAATGAAGCTAAAATGTGGTACAAAGTAATATACTCGGCCCAAGTAGAAAACTGTTCCTATGAAATGGATAAGACACTTCAGCCAGCCAGAGTAGCAATTTCTAGTGAAATTTCTTTTCCTATTTAACAACAATAGCAATCGAACTTTAGATATGTCAATAAATAAAAACCAAATACACCAATAAGCATTTGGACCAAGTGATAAAGATATTAAATCAGTTTAACTATAACATGTATCCGAATCCCGAACATGGGAACGCTGAAGTGATTGAGATATTTGTTGAGAAAATTTTGTCTCCTGAAAGAAATCTACCCGACTCGAATACAGATTAGTCCGAACAATGATTTCGAATATCAAGTGCGTAATATACCAAGTAAAAACTAAATCAAATCCATTGTGTTGTATTAGAAAAAGAAATGAATTCAACTAAATATGTTAGTTTTCTAATACAAAAAATAAATAGACTCTAAAGTATAGGGGGCTAGTACACCTTTTTCCCTACAGGCAGTGGAAACCAATAGCTGAATCCATTTGTTGCTGACGATATTGTTAGCGTTACAAAGGAATAACCAATTTGTCTTTCGGGTTTGGTGTACATCAATTGAAACTCGAGAGTAACACAAGAAGAATTTTCTAATTAATGTATTGTGTCTTTTACAGTTTATTATTTCAAAATAAAATCAAAAACAAATTTGTGTCTAAGAAAGATACTCCATATTGAACTTTGAATTTATACTAAAAATAGTTTCCAGTTTAAATTTTTTTTTTTTAAAAAAACTAAAAGTAAATTATTTTTCTGAGAAGGAAAAAATACCTTATTATAATATTTATTTCCATGATGTGTTACCCCAAGACAAAATCGCACCAACTTCGAAGCCGTGTGGACCAATTGAATCACTCAAATTCTAAATTTTGAATTTGAACTGAAATCATACGGGAGTACTTTAAACCCGCCAAAACAAAGTAATTGGATGGTCATGAGTCATGAATCATGATTCATGATAACAAAAGTTACAAATCATGAGGACTTATTGAATCATTCAAACAAATCAAGTAGGTAAAAAAGTCAAAAACCCAATTAAAAAAAGCAAGAAGTTTATGAGATCATTCAACTTACAACAGCATAAACAGAACAAAATGGAACTGACAAAGATATCAGAACAAGAAGAAGAAGAACAAAGAAACGAAAATAGCTAGCTAAAACTAATTAAGATTAATCTAATTATAGTAAAAAGACAACAAAATGTTATCTTCGATTCATCAAACCTAATCACCTTAAAGCTAAAGGGAAAAAAAAGAAAAAATCATTCTTGAAGAGGTCCAGATTTTCTGCAAATACCAATACTAACATAAGCATTGCTCTTACTACAATAGCTTCCACAACCTGAGTTGTTCTTACAGTCTTCATCACTGTAACATATTCCACAGCCATCAAAGCTGTCAAGTGCCAAAACCATCATCTCCTTCTGTCTCATCAACAAATTTAGTTCTTGATTATGAATCGGAGTTAATCTCGCAGCTTCGGCTCTGCTTGATGATGGGTTCTCCATTATTTCAAAATCTGAAACATCCATTTCAACAAACATACATAAACTTAAGCAAAATGGGAAGAATTGAATATAGGAAAAAAAAAAAAAAAGGGATTAGATTAGGAACAGAGCAACTTACAAGATTGCGCCAGGATTAAGAGAAATATGAACACTGGCTTAACAAAGAAAGCCATTTTGATTCCTCTGTTCCCTCCTGAATGTGGGATTTGCAGAGGTTTATAGTGGAGTTGCTCCCAAATAAATAATCAACTCAGATGCCAGCTAGAGCCTAGATAGATTGCTTGTCTGCCATTAGTACTAGAAATAAGGATCTTATAGACTCAAGATCTTGATTGCAGACTTAAATTTGAATTTGAATTTCATGTGGACATTAAAATATCACTGAGCAGCTTTTTGGTCCTCTCAACAGCTGGTCCTTTATAATTGAGAAATAGATTCACTTTCAAAAGAACACCCCTCAAGTTTTGGTTATCGGCAAAACACTACTTGAAAACCCAATGGTGGTCTTTTATTTATTTATTATTATTATTATTATTATTTTTTTTTTTTTGCAAATTTATCTCTAGGTCTATTTTGTTGTTTTATTAATATGCATTATATTATTGGCGTCAAAACGTCTATGATATTGAGTCGAAAATAAATTTATGAATTATCGATTCAGAGTCCAATTTAAAAGAATAATGTGATGTGGAGATGAATCGTATGGTGGAGTTAAAATCTAATTGACTAATGAGAACATTTGATTTTGAGATGAAGTTGAACGCTTAGAGGCCTTCATTCTAAATTATTATTGTTATTATAGAAATATCCCCCCCCCCCTCCCCAATCAAATTGGTTGCTTTTTTCCATTAATTGATAATAAAACTTATGTTGTATTTCAAAATAAAATAAAAATGAAAAATTAAGAAATAATGATATTTATTATATAGATCCTTACTTCTAAGAACTAGTAAAAAGGTGTAAATTGTAAAAATTGGAATCAAAATAAGCTAGAATTCACTTTGGCAATGAGTTTCCAATAAAATAATGAAAACTCTTGTGATATTTTCGGAAATAGCAAAAACTAAAGGGCTTGTTTCATTAAATCTTAAAGTGATATGAAACCTACATCATGACTTCAAACACCACAAAATCTTTATGCCTCGTGGATGAACAAAATACGTGTTTTTCTCTCTTTTCCCATTTAACCAATTTAATATAAACGAAATGTTTAACCCATAAATTTCGTTTTGTGACACAGTCTTCTATAAGTTCAAAAAATCAAAAGGGTGCAAGCATCATACATGTGATGCAGCTTTTTATTTTCACACAAGAAGTTTGGGCAAAAAAGGGAAGAAAGGGTACTTAATTAGGCAGTGGCTCCACATATAAGATGAATTTTTATGGTTTTTGTGTCAGAAAAATTTAAAGAAAGACCGAGCTTCCATAAATTCTCCAGCAGATCATGTCGAGAAGCCAACAATCTTTTAAACAATGGTAATGGTTTTGATTAGGGATCATTTGATATTTAAAAAAAAAATAAAGTACCAACTTCTTTCTACTAGAGTCAAATTTGGCCCTCCAAGCAATAACATTTTCCTTTAGTTGAACGTTTTTGTGCTAAATATGAAAGGACTTTTGCTGTTTTTCTGTCGAAAATTAGCGAAGTTGTTTGCTAGCAGCACTTGTACATTTTTCTTCTTGTTTTCCCCATTTTTATGAATTTATGTATGTACTATATGATTTATGGAAATCCTCTATGTGATTTATTGATGTACTAAATGTTCCCTGTATGGCCTACCATTCAAATCAAAAAATATTCCCACTAAACACAAAATTCAATACAAAATGAATCCCATCTATATAATTTTAACTCACGTATTAAAATTTATTTTCAGTAATATTGTCACCCTAGTCTTCATGGATGCTGGTCAGCTATTCAATGATCTGCGCTTCGGGTTGCCCGTACACAAAGGTTGCACAGGGTCACAGGCCGTGGACTCTCATATTATATCAAAAATTATTTGGATTCCTTTGTTTAAAAATAAAAAATTAAATATTATTTAGATTTTCATTTCAAAATCAATAGATAATAAATGAGGCGAGTCAATAAATTTATAAACATGTAATATATTTTTCACGATAGTGGCCTGAAATTAATTCTTTGGCCCAACAATCCATTCATCATGATACCCATGTTATCATACCTTAGAATCAGGCCCATATATCATAATCATGTTTTTTCAATCTGTGATGCTTTGGTCCAATTAATATTTATAAATTAAAAAAAAAAAAGAGGGGGAGAAAAGAGAAAATTGGGGGGCAGAGTTCAGGTTTTTAGAGGGAGAGATTAGAACCCTAATAGGGGATTAAAGAATGGAGATGAATGAGAAGATTAGGGAGGAAGACAGAGTTTAGAAAATCCTCAATTTTGATCGATAAATTTCTTGCAACCTTTAAGCACTACTGTTATAGTAATCTAATTAAACTAATTACAGTAATGATCCCATATTTTTGTATAACGCTAAATCAGCCCCAAATGCATGACACAATCCTCGGTAGGCTTGAAAAGACACTGCTTCAAATTTGGTGCTGTTATTTGGGCTTCATATAGATATATGTATCTGGGTTGCTTGGCCTTCCGAAGTTCGCAATTGCATTAGATTTTTTTGACCATTACAACAAAATTAAAAAAAAAAAAGTAAATTTATTTTAATATCTTCAAAAGAAGTTTATAAGGGCAAAGCAAAACTAAATTTGACAATATGTACTTCTTCATTTATGAGTTCTTTACATTTTGAAAACAAAAGTAAAACTTAAAAATTGAAAAACAAAAAGAAGAAAAAAACTTCCGTTTTACGTTATTGTATGTATTGCTGTTTTTCCTTTTCTGTACATTAAACTAGTACTTGGTGCTCGAAAAACACTACCTTGAGTAATTTGGATCAAAGATATATACATTTTTTAAAGAGAGTACAACTCTTTTAATAAGGGATTCACAAAAGATACGTGTACATGCATGTCTAGTATTTTCAATAAGTGTATCTTGGTACCTTTCGTCTTTGTCTTTCCTTAAAGCGATTATTATTCAAAGGATCTGCCATCGATATGTTGGGTTAAATCCACCCCCATCACCCTGCAAACCAACTTGGATTGTTTTAGATTGCTCCGTATGGATATTTTCATGTGGTTTGCCCGAGAGAAGTACTCATTTGGGCTCAACTAAAGTGGTTGTGGTGGAGTGGAATGGACTCCTCCATTCTTGACCATAGGTCGAGGGTTCGAATCTCGTCATGGATATGGAGTAATCTTAAATACTTTGGCCAGCTGTTCCACTTATTGCAGTGCCAACAATTCAGCGAGTGGAATTAGTCATTGTTGCCGACGGTGGACAATCTACAAATATGAAAAAAAAAAAAAAAAACCTTTAACCCTCTCATTACGTCTAAAGATGTTCCCTATCTTGCTTGGCCCATTTCATTGACTATTAGCATAAGCACAACTCTAGGCTAATCTCTGCAATTATTGCTCCGGAATTACTCCATGCGACATCTGCAAATTTCAATTTTTTAAAAACAAATTCATCTTGCTAATTCTTTTCCTTAAAATAAAATGAAAGTCGTACCCCAAAATCAAAGTTGACTAATGCTCAACTTAAATTATTATCGAGAACCGTATTCATATCATTGAAATGGGACATGGGTTACTTATCTCTTTGAAAGAATATTCCCTTCAATTGTTTAATTTGGATTCATGAATGTAATTAACATGGAACTTGCATTTCATGGCCTTGAGATCCTTAAACACTCACATGCTCCACCATCCTCAACATTTTTTTTCATTTTTTTTGAATTGTACCTAATTACATAATTTGCTATTAATTAGTAGTAATATTTGATAGTGGGATTAGGATTTATGAACGGTGCTAATAGGTTACACTAGTATAATTTTTGGGCCAACATTTACCTCCTCCCATATATTTTGATTTCGTTTTTACAATATACCGATATAACAAAGAAGGGTTGAGAGAACTACTAGTAAAAGTAGAAAAATGGCAATCATAATATATGGATTCCAGTTACTATCTTGAAATCCCTTCTCTAATGTTGTAGAGTAATTTATCTTAATTATTTCGGTCTATCTAGAAGAGAACATGGCATTTGTTAAAAGTGGGATTCCAGTTCAAGATCGATAGTAAGTGAATAGTCCAAGAATTTTAATTCCATACCATTTAATAAAGATTTGAATTTTCGATGTGAGAAACCTAAATATTGTGTATTCAACAACAGCGATCAGATGAAAGTAAACAAAATTTGACATAAATCATCAGCTGATCTCGACTTTGAAGCCTACACCTTTCATTTCATAGGCTAATTACACTTTATTTTCTCAAATTTTATTATTGCACGAAACAATAAAAGACTTTGACTACTCCTACATTGATGCACAATAACAATGTGACGATGACATGTTCGTTTTGACTTTCTGATAACTTATCACATGGTCGTTCACCGTACGTACTATCATAACATGCATATGAAGCAGGCCATGACGTACTTATCCTAAGAAGTTAAACTTAATAAACAACGTTTGACCAAAATTCTCCACAACTAATTATAACCAATCATTGTTTGACACAGGAAAAAAAAGTTTTCAATAATTAACCGAAAAAAGGAATTACTACCTCCCAAAAACCGTTGCGTTAAGTCCTTACTAAACCATCCCTCAATCAAAATGTGTATAAATAGCCCTAAAATCCAACAAATCTCACAAGTACAAATCAACCAGCAGCGACTTACAATCTTGAGTACAAGAAAAATGGGTTACAAAATTCAAGTTTTATGGACAGTTCTCATTTCCTTTTCAACCTTTTTCATCGTAACAACAAACGCAGCAACCTTCAATGTGATGAGCTATGGTGCAAAACCAGATGGAAGAAGTGACTCAACTCAGCCATTCCTCAAGGCGTGGTCTTCGGCGTGTAGGTCCGTTCAGCCGGCGACAATGTACGTGCCCCGGGGCCGTTACTTGATAAAAGCGGCGGTGTTTCAGGGGCCATGCCGGAGCCGAATCAATGTCCACATTGATGGCACTCTTGTTGCACCTGAGAATTATTGGCATCTCGGAAACTCGGGTTACTGGTTGTTGTTCATTAAGGTCAACCGGCTTTCGGTTATCGGTGGCATATTGGATGCTAAGGGCACTGCTTATTGGAACTGTCGCCGGAGAGGAGGGAACTGCCCCGTCGCAGCAAGGGTAAGTAAAGATTAGTACTCTACCCTAATTATATACTCTTTCCGTCCAAAAAAATAGCTAACATTTAGTTTTGAGTTTTAAATTGTTTTTATTTTAAATTTAAAAATTCAATGTGAATTATTTTTTTGGGGACAAATGTAAAACTACATACATGAATGAAGTGGAGCTCAAATCTAAATAAATTTGATATAATGAATTTTCACACTTTTAATTATACTAAGAGATAAATAGTACTCTGAATATTCCAAGAAAGCAGTTTGAATTATAGTATGTGAATCGCACTAAAAACCGTATAAATAAAAAATTATAATATAGATTATATTTCTCAGAGTTATAAAAGTATTAGTTTGGGTCAGGATTAGCTTTTTTTATTTGGAAATTAATAAAATTCATGAATTCACGATTTTCTATGCAGTCAATAACATTCAATTGGGTGAATAATGGGTTGATAAGTGGCTTAACATCAATAAACAGCCAGCTGATGCATGTTGTAGTGAACAGTTGCAATAATGTCAGAGTTCAAAATGTGAAGATTATAGCTCCAGCCGAAAGTCCAAATACAGATGGCATCCATGTTCAGGGCTCAAATAGTGTTACCATTTATAACAACATCATTAAAACTGGCGATGATTGCATTTCAATTGGTCCAGGAACAAGAAACCTTTGGATGGAAAAGATTAAATGTGGCCCTGGACACGGCGTTAGGTATTTTTAAATTTGTTTCTCATTGCACGTACATAGGTTACTGACCCATCCTTTTTTTGTGTTCCAATATTACAATCTTGTGTCTTATGTTAGTCGAAAAAAGTTGGCATAATGCACCCTAAAATTTCACTAGGTCGATTGATTCTTTAACATATCCCTAATTTATTCTGAAGTTGGTAATTGGATTGCGCAGCATCGGTAGCCTAGCTAGAGGCTTCAAAGAAGATGGAGTTGCGAACGTGACACTAATTAATTCAGAGTTCAGTGGATCAGACAATGGTCTTAGAATAAAATCATGGGCAAGGCCTAGCACAGCTTTTGTTACCAACATCAAATTCAGAAACATCATCATGAATAATGTGGCAAATCCCATCATCATTGATCAAAACTACTGTCCAAATAATCAAGGATGTCCTCGCCAGGTAACACTAAAAGTTTAAGAAATCTGCTTCATAACTCGTTATACCTTAAAGATTTCAGTACTTTTCATTAGCGTCAATTCTTATTGCCGATTTGGTTTTGGTTCTGACAGACTTCTGGAGTGAAGATCAATCAAATTACTTACCACAACATAAGAGGAACTTCAACAACGCTGCACGCTGTAAAGTTTGATTGTAGTCCAAGTAATCCATGCAGAGGGATCATAATGCAAGATATAAGGCTAACCCATTTGAAAAGAAAGGCAAAATCTTACTGTAAGAACATTAGAGGAACTACAAGAGGAGTTATTTGGCACGAGAATTGTTTGTAAGCTAGCAATCCGGCCAATGAGTTCTCCTTGCAATTTTAAAAATTTTTCCACTCTTTATTTCCTAAAAGTGAAACAATTTCATGTTCATTTTGGGGTTTTATTTTAATCATAACCTCTTTTGTACAACTATATATGGAGTACAATATGGGCAGTAGGTTCGGTTTTAATATCAATGGCTGTGTGGGCCCTGTGGCGCACATATATACTTGATTACTTGCAATGCAAATGTGAAATTTGTCATTTAATTTCCAATTCTTTCTTAGCTTATATGGTTGACGGTTGTAGAGACTATATTTTTCTATTATTATTTTTAAATGAATGAGAGTTGAAGCAGGTGAAATCAAATACAAACTCTAAAAACTTTGACTGAACAAACCACTTATAAAACAATATCTCGAGAAGAAGCAATTCTACTATTATTAGGATCAATTTCGATCATTACATAATTATTGTGTTTAAACTTTAAACTGACTATTTGTAAATGTGGAATCGTGATATGATATGTTACTGAGTTTGTCATCTAATATGAAATTCATGGCCGACCCTTTAACTAGTAACTGTAACATCTGATCCCGGCTGCAACTCGACACTTATCAATTGTCATTTATCTGGACAAGTGTACATAACCATTCTGAATATTGGTATCTAATTAAACTCGTTTAGCATATCTTCTTCTCTTCCCCCACTTTAAGGGAAAGTTTTTTCTTCTTCTTTTTGGTGATATTTTTGTGATAGCCTGTTAGGTACAGTGAAATCACCTAAATTATTTCGTTTATCCTTCTATTCTACCTGCTTTTGATTCACATGTATTTAATTACTTAATCAAGTTCTTTTGCTTACCATGCAAGTTAGGTATTATTATCATTAATTTTACTATAATATGTATTAATCATTTAATTAGTATCATATTGAGCATAACACACAGTGTGGCGTTTTTTTTTTTCTAATTTTGAAGCGAAGGGGACTAAATTTTCCTTTAAAATCACGTATTTATTCGTTCATTTCAGTCGAAAAGAACTTAAATCATACTCTTTCCATTAGATGCCGGCCGGCGAATGCCAAAAAAGTTCAGTTGTACTAATCTAAAAACTGTTACTATTTACGGTACAATTCATAGACAATTGCTAGCACAATTGTGATAATTAAATAATAGAATCTGATTCCATGATTCAAGAAGTAAAAACCAAGGTATAAGGTGATAGAATGACGGAAAAACATAGAGTGAAATAAGCTCATTACTAATCAGACAAGTACAAAAAGAAAAGAAATAGATAAGTCTCGATCTTTTCTGTTAGAATTATTAAGAATAAGACTTTGCGATTTTATCATTTCACGCTTCAATTACTCTTTTTTTTTTTTTTTTTGGTTAACTCAATTACTCATTTTAATGTGCAGTTTTACTGACTCCATCGAACTGCTAAGGCAACAAGCAATGACGATTATATTCCGTAAATTATTGCTCAGGAATTAATCTGGCCATATGGCATGTGGTGCAAATTTTGATGCCATTGATCCAACTAATATGAATGCAAACTATCATCATTTTCCATTTTAAATTTCTAAATTCAAAAGCCGTACCTAAATGGTTGACCAATGTTAAATTAATCACAGAAACCGTACTTCTAGCATGATGAACTGCGTGTTAGGGAGTTAGGATTATTTGTAACCAGAAAAAGGGAGTTAGGATTATATTTGGATGAATAATTTTTAAAATAAATTGATTAATCGATTAATGCATGTAAACTACGACATTCCATTCATCGTGGCCGCTGGATCCGTAACACTCACATGGTCCACCATCCTCATCAATGTTATTTTAAATTTGTTGCATAAATTTAATAATTAGCAAGTTCTGAAAAGTGGAGTATGAACAAAAGAGCTAAATTAATTTCAAAACTCCACTGTTTCGCTATTTCTTTTTGGGGTTTTCAATGGTGATACTGTAAGATTATGAATCAAAGATGTGTTTTCATATCTTTTTTGTTCGTGAACTATGAAATGCAAACCATATTACTCCATCAGACTCAAAATAAATGTATTAGATTTTTCTTTTTAGTACAAGTTTACCTAAAATGAAAATTTAAAAGAGACAATAATTTTAAGACAGAAAAAATATATATAAAATGTAATTTCTCTCGGATTGATAGGTCCTTTTAGAGAAGTGTTCTCGTACTTTAAAGTTTAAACATTTTTAACCAGGATTAAAATTTCCTTTCAGGTTTCCAAATTAATCTTAACAAACCCCTTATATAGTAGATATATAAAGTTCTCTCGGACCAGGTTTAATAATAGCCACATAGTGAATCTCATTTCAAGTAAAGTATGCAAAAGCCACTTTACGAAACATTCCCAATTTACTTTGTTTTGGAAATGCAATGTGTCCTTCAAATGTCAAAGTGAAGGTATCAAGTTGCCAAAAAATATGACAATGCTATAGTACTGTAGTATATAGTTGGTCAATTAGAATTGAAATTGAGTAACGAAGTCAAAATTTCTCAAGCCTTGAAGGCTTGAAGCCTCAGTTACACTCATACTATAGCTTTGTTGGAACCAAACTTAATAAAACTATTCGTTGACTTCCATTTTCAATCCATACCTATCATTTCAAAGACTAATGATTCCTAAATGATTGCACGAACCAATCAAAGAGTTTGACAACTCCAACTTGTACAATAACAATGTGATGAGAACATGTTCTTTGATTCTTAATTCCTGATAACTTATCAAGCACATGGGCCATGCACCGTACATATCGTAACATGCATTTCAAGTAGGCCATGACGTACTTATCCTCAAAATTAACAATGTTTGACCAAATTAACTCTTCAACAAATTAAATAACAACCAATCATTAATTATTCACATAAGAAATTAAAATGTTTAATCATTAACAGAAAAAAAAAACTGCCACCAAAAAAACCGTTGGCTGAACTAAAGCACACCTCAATCCTAACCTGTATAAATAGCACCAAAACTCATCAATTTTTCTACACAACTCCAACACTAAAAATTCCTAAATCACTAGAGACATATATTCATAAGGAAATGGTTAGCAAAACTCTAGTTTTGTGCACAACATTCATTTCCATTGTATCCCTTTTTATGATAACTATAAACGCAGCAACCTTCAATGTGATGAGCTATGGTGCAAAACCAGATGGAAGAGGTGACTCAACTCAGCCATTCCTCAAGGCATGGTCTTGGGCGTGTAGTTCCGTCCAGCCGGCGACAATGTACGTGCCCCGGGGTCGTTACATGATAAAAGCGGCAGTGTTTCAGGGGCCGTGCCGGAGCCGAATCAACGTCCAGATTGATGGTACGCTTGTAGCTCCTGATAATTATTGGCACCTCGGAAACTCGGGTTACTGGTTGTTGTTCATTAAGGTTAACCGGCTTTCAGTTATTGGTGGGATATTGGATGCTAAGGGCGCCGGATTTTGGGACTGTCGCCGGAGAGGGGGGAACTGCCCTGCTGGAGCAAGGGTATGAGCTTTATTTCTTTTCTTTCTTTTCAATGAACTTCTATAGTCATTCATGTCATCTTCTATACTATAACTAAAACTGACATTTTTTCCCGTCCTATTTTTTCCGCTATAAAATTAGTATACACTAATATCAACCATAAGTACATTTTGGAATCTACATAAATTTTTTTTACTACAATAAATTTCTTTATGAAATTTTAAACACTTTTATTAGTTTGAAAATTGAGTCTTTTGTTTGACCGGAATTTAATTATTTGTAATGTTTCTTGAAATAAAAGGGACTTTTGAAAAGAATATGAAGTTTCATCTCAATTAGTAGTGAAGAAACTAACCAAGTTAATGGTTAATCAGTAATAGAAGCAGCAATAATGTTATGAAATGAAGATGCTGCAATTTAAATTGAAAAAATAACTTCAAATTTCTAAAGTAATTATTTTGAAAGTTGTAACATTCAAAAGGTCAACTGCACATTTACCAGCCCTCATACACGTGGCTTTGCCACTAGAATAGAGAGATTTCGAGGTTCAAATTTAAGTAGTGATACATATTTTTTTAAAAAAAAAATAAAAATTATTGATTTGGAGTTCTGGTTCATTTATTTGCAAATTTTTTAACACATACAAAATTTACAAATTTCTATGCAGTCAATAACATTCAATTGGGTGAATGATGGGTTGATCAGCGGCTTAACATCAATAAACAGCCAGCTGATGCATGTTGTAGTAAATAGTTGCAACAATGTTAGAGTCCAAAATGTGAAGATTATAGCTCCAGCCCTAAGTCCGAACACAGATGGCATCCATGTTCAGGTTTCAACTGGTGTTACCATTTCCAACAGCAACATTCAAACCGGAGATGACTGCATATCAATCGGTCCTGGCACGAGAAATCTATGGATGGAACGGATTAAGTGTGGTCCAGGACACGGTGTTAGGTAACCAAAGTTTATTTCATCGTAAATTACATTAATCGAACCATGTACTTTGATTCTGATGTTTCTTATTTGGATTGTTACAGCATTGGAAGTCTAGCTCGAGATTTTAAAGAAGATGGAGTGACAAATGTGACACTTATTAATTCAGAGTTCAGAGGAACAGACAATGGTCTTAGAATTAAATCATGGGCAAGGCCTAGCACAGCTTTTGTTAACAACATCAAATTCAGGAACATCGTCATGAACAATGTAGCAAATCCCATTATTATCGATCAGAATTACTGCCCAAATAATCAAGGATGTCCTCGACAGGTAAGACAAAATTCTGAAAAATTCATATACGATTGTACTATACCTTGACGATTATTTCATCTGTCCCAAAAAAAAAAAAAAAAGGTAGTCCACAAGAGGGAATACTACATTTCACGATCCTCAATACTGATGATATGGTTTTGGGTTTGGACAGACTTCTGGAGTGAAGATCAACCAAATCACTTACCACAACATCCAAGGAACATCCACTACGCCGAATGCGGCCGTGTTTGATTGTAGTCCAAGTTCTCCCTGCAGAGGAATCATAATGCAAGATATAAGACTGACTTATTTGAACAAAAAGGCAAAATCTTACTGTAAGAACATTGGAGGAACCACAAGAGGAGTTATCTGGCATGAGAGTTGTTTATAAGCAATCCGGCCAATTAGTTCTCTTACATTTTTCCCGGGGTTTATTTACCCTTATTAAAACTAGATTACTGACTAAAAAACTTAGGCAGTAGGATTGAAATATCGATGTCTCTCTGGCATGGTATAATATATTGTGAATGCAAATGTATAATTTAGTTTGCATTACTAAATAATTACTTGTATTTTTGATGATGGTTAATACAAAGTATATTTTTCTATCTTCTCGTAAATGCAGGTATGAGTCATAGCTTTTTAGAATGATACAAATTAAATTAGACTCACGATATTGTTAGAACTATTAGTATCAGTATTCAAAGTAATGATAATAATCACATCCTTCCCATCTAAACCTGACATTAGTCAAACAGCATATTTTGCTCTTCTCTATTATAATGATTCAGTTGCCAATTTTTCCTCTTCACCCTATTCAGAACAGAGCACAATAAATGACTAAATGGCAACAGAAAAACAACCACTTGCTGAATTAAAAAGGAAAAAAAAAGAAAAGATTTGTTTAGTCCCTACTCCAGAATCCAAAACGCCCATGAAACTTTTAGTAGAGATATGTTTTTTCTTTTCTTTTTATTTTTTTTTTCTAACTAATACTTTCTTCAAAGAGTCAATATAGTAGCCCAACTGTAGAAAATGTATTTATGAAATTACTTACTAGCGGAGGATTGAACTACAACTTGTGTACTTGTGTGACACAACATTGGGGACAACATAAGACTAGCAAGCTTCTTAATTTCTTGCAGTTTTTTGGCTGATATGATTACTAAATTGGAAGAATGGATGGAGATTACAAGATTTTCGGGTGCGTCGGACTGCTACCCCTATAAGTATGAGGTTTTCTTTAAGGTATTTAAAAGAAAAAATTTACGGAGGTTGGCCGGGAAATTTTGATAATTCAATTAGCCAAACCGCATTCTTGAGTTGATGTTTAGCTTAAAACCGCAACAGGCATCTGTGGTTTACTTTTTAACCAGGAAATCTCAACAAGTGTTTGACACAGGGAGGATAAGCTGACAACAAAGAGATAAAACTTCAAACCTAGCATATCTGAAAGGGAACGCATTTCGTGACATTCACACTTTTTTATTTTTTTTTTGGTTTGGGTGAGCTCCATTTTCATTCTACGATTCTAGAGAAAGCAATCTGCAGAAGGATTATCTTTTTGAGTTGTTGAGGTAAGTTTTTTATTTTGGCCTCTTGAATAATGTTTAGATTTGCACTCATTGTTATTGTAATATTTAGTATATTTCCTATTATGTTCTAGTTTAGGGTTTGTTATTGTTTATATATAGTCTGTATATTGTGTATAACATATCATGAATCAAATACAATTTCCCTATTCTAAGTTGGTATCAGAGCTAGGTTTAACAAAACCTATTTTTTTTTCTCTCCTCTCTCTTTTCTCTCCCCCGCCAAATCCTTCTTCTTCGGCCGTGCACACCCCATCCGCCGTAGTCGGCCTCTTTCTTATGCCCTTCGCCGCCCCACACAGGCTCTTCTCTTCACCGGCGTGTGCTTTCGTCGTCCCGCCGCCCAGAACCCCTTCTTCTTCTCCCCGTCGACCAAGCTCAGCATCGTCGGCATGTGCTCCTTCCTCTCCTCTTCCAATTCGTGCTGCTGCTGCCGCCGGTCGTCTTCGTCGGCGTTCTTCCTTTACTTGCGGTCGGTTGGTGCTGCTGCCGCTGCTTCCTTTACGCCGCCTTAATCCTCTCGTGCCGGTCGCTCGCAACGCGGCGGCCGGCGCAATCAGGTTTCTGGTCGTGGTGGTGGTCGGCGTGGGTACACCCCTCCCGCTCCGGGTGAGACGTGTCAGCTTTGCGGCATCTTGAATCACACGGCCGCCACTTGTCGACGCTGTTTTGATACTAATTTTGTTCCTCGACCCCTTGCCGTTCGGTCGGCTGCTTATGCCCAGGCAGGTTCTCCTGCACCGCCTTCAGCTGGTTTGTTGCCTCTTCCGTCTTTCCCGGAGTCGACTATGTCTCCTCAAGCCCATATGGCGCAGTATGCCCCTTCTGTCACTCCCTGGCATCCGGACACTGGTGCTACCGATCACGTCACGCCAGATTTGTCCTCTCTCAGTATCTCCAATGATTATACTGGTACGGATCATATTTTAGTTGGTAATGGAGATGCTTTACCTATTCAGCATGTTGGTCAATCTGTTTTGCCATCGTTTTCGTCCTCTTTATTTAAATCGTGTCTTGCATGCTCCTTCTCTTACTAAGCCTCATTATCTGTTCAAAAGTTTACCGTGATAATCACTGTTTTTTGAATTTTATTCGACTCTTGTTGTGTTAAGGATCTTTCAACCAAGGAACTCCTCCTCCGCGGTCGGGCTGATAATGGTCTCTATCGCTTAGATCTTCCTGCTCGTGGTCCCTTGTCTCCAGCAGCTTATCTTGTCTCTTTAGGTCAGTGGCATGCTCGTTTAGGGCACCCTAATAATGTCACTCTTCGTACTTTGGTTAGGCAGTTTCAACTTCCTTATTCCTCTGTGTCCACGTCCACTGATAAATGTGAGGCGTGTTGTTTAGGGAAGTTACATATGGTCAGTTTACCTTCTACTTTTCATCATAGCTCTAAACCTCTTGATTTAATTCACACTGATGTTTGGGGTCCTACTCCTATTTTGTCATTCAATGGTTATCGCTACTTTGTGCTTTTTATTGATGACTTCTCTTTATTCACATGGATTTATCCTATTAAGTATAAAAGTGATGTTGTCCATGTTTTCAAGCAATTCAAAGCTCTCGTAGAAAACTAATTTGGCACTACCTTTACAAGTGTTAACTCTGATTGGGGTGGTGAATTTCGTTCTCTCAATTCTTTCTTTAAGGATGTCGGTATTGTTCATCGTTTAGCGTGCCCACACACTCATGAGCAGAATGGCACTGCTGAACGCAAAATTCGTCACATTGTCGACATTGGACTTGCTCTCCTTGGCCATTCCAGTACCCCTTTTCGGTTTTGGGATTTTGCTTTTGAAACTGCTGTGTTTTTAATTAATCGCCACCCTAGTAAACCTCTTCAAGGTTACCTACTCTTCACTACACTATATCACCAGCCACCTGATTATACCTTTCTTCGTGTCTTTGGTTGCGCTGTCTATCCTCTTCTTCGCCCTTATAATAAATATAAATTCTCCTTTCGTTCTACTCAGTGTGTCTTCCTTGGGTATTCTCCATCTCATCTTGGTTATCGCTGTTTTGATGTGGTGAATAACCGTCTTTATGTTGCTCGTCACGTTGACTTTGATGAGAAACTCTTTCCCTTTAAACTTCCTATTTCTAGTTCTCCTTCTTCGCTGCTGGAGTCTCCTGCTACCCCTTGGTTGCGTGTAACCAGTTCTCCTGGTATGCTTGCGTCGTCTTCTGCATCTTCTTCGTCTCCTTCTAGTACACCAGTTCTTTCGTCTCCTCCTATCCCTCCCGACTCATCACCTTTAGCTAGATCTCCTGCATCCAGCTCTTCATCATCTGATTGCAGTCCTCCGCCGCCACCTCCTTCTCCTTCTTCCTGTCAGCACTCAATGACACTTCGTCCACAACCCAAGCCCAAGAAAATCTTTGATCCCTCGGCTTATCTTACCTCTGTTTCCCCAGCCTTGTCTACTGCTCCTACATCCTTCACCCAAGCCAAATCTCTTCCTCAGTGGCAGAATGCCATGAAGGATGAAATTTTCGCCCTCCTCAAAAATAACACATGGACTTTAGTTCCCCCTCCTTCCTCCGGCAATGTTGTCGGCAATCGATGGCTCTATAAGATTAAAACTCATGCTAATGGCTCCATTGAGCGGTATAAGGCTCGGTTGGTGGCTCGAGGTTTTACTCAGTCTTTTGGGGTTGATTACACTGACACATTTAGTCCGGTTGTTAAGCCGGTCACCATTCGTTCAGTTTTGACTGTTGCCCTGGCTCGTGGATGGTTGATTTCTCAGCTTGATGCCAGTAATGCCTTTCTTAATGGAGTTCTAAGTGAGACCGTGTATATGGTTCAGCCACAGGGGTTTGTTGATCCGGTGCGCCCTCATTATGTGTGTAAACTGCATAAGTCCTTATATGGTCTTAAGCAAGCTCCTTAGGCCTGGTATTCTCGGCTGGCAGCATTTCTACTTACCTTGGGTTTTGTGGAGTCTCGTTGTGATCCGTCTCTTTTTGTCTATCGCCGTGGGTCTCAGTTATGTTTTTTGCTGGTCTATGTGGATGACATTATTCTTACAGGCAGCACTTCTGGTTTGGTCCAGCATTTTATCTCTTGTCTTGCTAAGGAGTTTTCTCTTCGTGATTTAGGTCCATTGAGTTACTTTCTTGGGGTTGAGGTTCGTCGTATTTCCAAGGGTTTGCTTCTCTCTCAGCGCAAGTATGTCACTGATTTGCTACGACTTGCAAATATGCATACTTGCAAACCTGTTTCCACTCCTTTGCAGGCTAATGTTGTGTTGTCCCGTTTGGATGGTACTCTGTTGTCTCCTGATGATGCGACTACTTATCGTCGGCTGTGTGGCAGTCTGCAGTATACCACTCTCACTCATCCAGGCATCAGCCTCGCACTTCTCATTTTCAGGCCCTCAAACGGGTTCTTCGCTATCTTCGTACATTGATTACTGTTTAGTTCTGCATCCTACAGATTTGGGTACTCTTACCGCGTTTAGTGATGCTGACTGGGCTGGTTGTCCGGATGATCGTCGTTCTACTACTGGTTTTCTCATTTATTTGGGACCTAATCTCATTGCCTGGGCATCTAGGAAGCAGCCCACTGTGGCTCGCTCGTCTACTGAGGCTGAGTTTCGTGCGGTTACTAATGTCTGTGTTGAACTGCATTGGGTGTGTCATCTGTTGTCTGAGTTAGGCGTTTCTTTAAATCGCCCTCCCTCTATTTGGTGTGACAACAGTAGTGCAGTTTTCCTTGCTGTCAATCCTGTGTTCCATGCTCGTACAAGACATGTTGAGGTTGATTTTCACTTTGTTCGAGATCATGTTCGGCGTAAGTTTGTTTCGGTCAATTCTATCTCTGCTGCTGATCAGCTTGCTGATATTCTGACAAAACCCTTGTCCAAAGAGTTATTCTTTCGATTTCGAGACAAACTTCGGCTTCTCTCT